CGTTCCCGTTAATCCTATAATGAAAGATCCACCAAAAAGCTGCAAATGCATACGGCAATGGCTCCATACCCATTGATAACGATGCCCCAGGCAATTAGCACTTCGTTATGGACACCCCTGGGTCAAACGCGAGGGCGGGAAAGGGAAGGATTATGGCTGGCATTCATTTCGGCTTAGCCTGGGCACTTCCCCACCCGAGACCACCGGGGGTGGGGTCAACTCGTTAGCCGTCGCGGATCTGCGAGCGTGTGGCGTGGCCCTGTCGCAGAGTTGGCTGGGCCAGGGACCTCAGCGGGGTGTCTTCACTGAACTGCCACTGATATCGAACGTCCTGAGCCCAATCGGGTCAATCCCTGCCACGTCGCCGATAACCGCCGACAGTTATGCTGCCTTCTGGGAGCGGTTCCTTTTATGCCACGTCTGCGGTCGGGGGGGGGGGGGGGGGGCAGGAGAGGGGCGAGCGGCCGGGAGCTTACCGGCAGTTTGGGCTTACCTGAGCCGTTGGTGGCAAGCGGGGGCTGACTTCATTCGAGCCGTGGTCCGACAACATGACAGCCATGGATGCACGCACACTATACTTGAAATGCGACGCATGTATGTAGCAGGTTAGCTTAATTATCATTAGGAAACCGTCCCTAAGATGTATCATCTTCATGCAAAATGAAAGAGAGCATCTCTTTCACCCTCACTCTTTCCCGTACTTTCTGGCATCTTCACGAATGCTCCGTCTGCTGTTTAAGTTATGTGTCCCATCGCAGCCACAGCAATAGTCCTTAGCTGTAGGTATCTATAAATTCTACCGACCGTTCAAATGTTGCTCGGATTAGTGGGCACAAAGAAACCGGAGATAAAAAGATGCTCGCATTTTGAGATCCGAATCCTTAGCTGCGTAGATTCGGACTCGTATTCCAGATTGGGTAAATGTACGTCGGGGAACTCTGACTTCTACACGTATGATCTGTCAGCTTGTTGGCTGGTTTGTACGCGGCTGCCAGCGGTGCGCTTTTTAAATCCGCCGAAACTGGAAGGGGGGGGGGTGTATGTGAAATAGCACACGTGACCAAAGACTTTGGCTGCAACGCCAACATGTGCGTGGTACATGTAGTTCTTGCAAGAAGAGTTGTGCCGAAAGATTGTTTAAATGCAATTTATTTCGATGTTGAAATGATGGTTTTTAATGTTCGGCTGTAGCTTTAAGGATTACAGTGCGGATTATTAGGGTTTGAATGTCGTTATCAGGGTACACCGACTGATTAAAAATTGCACGAGTCGTTCAAATTAGGATCTTCGGCTCTAATACATATCAATGATGCATTGCGTGTGCCCTATACATCTCGTTAACCAATATACGTTAGTGTATATGCGTTCTGACTCACATTTGGTTCTCCGCTTAATGCCCTGATGCGGGTTATTGCGAAAATCGCTCATCGTAAACAGCACATATAGGACTTTTATTTAGATATTCAGATGACACTGCTAAGTTTGCTTTTTCTTTTGAGTGCAATGCACTGAAATCTTGGGGAGAGAAAACTAAATGCCTCGAAATTGCGTATATATCTGGCCATGCCAGATATGTGCGTAATTGAAGATCGTGTGTTGGGGGGGGGGGGGAGAGTCTGTGGAGGGGGCATCTGAGCAGCTGCCCGGCTGCCGCTGTCACGCCTCCAAGAGATAAAATATAATGAGGAACCCATTGGTCAGCACACGAGCCAGATGATATTACACGCACGACTCGGCACTTTATGACTCCGGTACAAATGACATCAACGCACACGTGTGAGCCACGGGGCTAGGATGAAGCGGGTGACCGGCCTATTGGCGGGATACTGGGTCTGGTCAGGCACCATGAATGGCTATCTCCCCGTACATGGTTGTGCACCCTTAACCACGGAATCTCACCTTCACTGTATGGCTGCTAATATTATTGAAACGGAGCAAAAACGGATCCAGGTGCACCGAAAAAGTGAAACGTCCTAAATGTCATAGTACCCCTAAATTAACAGGGATCGCAGACCAACGGTGGATACACTGGCAATAGCCCGCTGGGTATCGACCCTAGGAGCCCCTTCGTCCTTAAGCAATCCACACAGACTGTATGCATTCGGCGCCCCAGCACATTCACGCGCCCGCGTCACACGGCCCACTCTTGGCTCGCATACAGGTAGCAACCCGTATCCAACGCCTTGGCATTATAATTGGCACGTCTGCGTGAGCCTCCGTTCAGCTAAGTTAGATTTAATTTGACACATCTCAAACACCCAAGGAAGCTACGCTTATGTCAGTTAAAGCACATTGGTTCGATTTGCTATCAGCTTGGCACAGATGCGGGAACTGGGTCGGCATCCGGCATACCAAAGCTGGACAACTCTTTGCGGGCTCCCTTTTTGGACATGGTTCCCTCGCGTCTTGTCCACGATGGGGCGGCCTACCGCTGCTTCGGCCACACCCACCGCTCGTAGCTTTCCGCTGCTGCGCGCACGCCTTATGCGGTGCCCCGTTCAGCAAGGAGACGCCGCCTCCGGCGCTTCTGTGTCCTGGTCTGCCGGAGCGAGGGTTGCGTCCTGGTGTCCTGGTTGTCCTGGTCTGCCGGAGCGGTTGGTTGGTACCGCCCCGCCCCGCGTCCCTCAGAGGCCTGGATGTAGGCAGAGCCACTGATGGGACGATGGAGCCCACCGGCAGAAAACAAGCGCCCGGCATAACGTGCGTTCACGCCTTACGGTCTCCACGGCCGGCGAACTCTGAAAACTCGGCCTGACCGGCCTGTCCGATGACCTGGTCGGTCCCTTGTCGCGCTTCCTATAAACGGTGATGGCGGGGGATATCTATCCGCACGGAGCATTCCGTTGCCAAGGGCTTACAAGGCCTGGCTTACACTACGTCGGAAGAGAACGGGCAGTGGCCTGGCTTCTCCCGAGGCGTTGTATACCATCGGATAGATCCCGTTTCCGTCGTACATAACCCTGTATCCTGAGTGATCCGAACTGATTCCTGACCATACTATGAGCTATGCATCTCCATGCCATCACGCCTGAGGTCGTGTGAGGAACAAACGAACGAGTCGACAGTCTCTTAGTTCAGAAATAGAACTGCGCCGTGCATTGGAGTCGCGCTACCCATCAAACATTTATCTACGTAAGAGCAGGACTGCAGTCGCCTGGCCCCTTCTCAATAGCCGAGACGTACTGCTCGGGCGCGTTCCGCACTTTCACTCGCGGCCACTTCTGCTACTTCGTGACTTGTCACTTGTTTATCGGACAGCTGGATGCGAATCGAAAAAAAATGTGATATGTCAGTCTGGCTGGAGCTTTGCGAGCTGGGGGGTAAGAGGCGTAATTGTAAGCGAAGTCCGCGTCCGAAAACTGGATAGGCTTACCTGAGAACTCTGCCGTTCCTAGCCGTCGGGAAAAACTACAGAAACCATAGACAGGCAAGCTGACAAGCTCACAAATAGACCCAATGTTCCAGCTCAAACAAGCTGTCACGGACATGCAGATACGACCGGTGCGCCGCGCCCGGCCACAACGCGGGATGGGCGAGGGGCGTGATGAGCCGATACGCCTCCGTGGGCCGTCTACAACGGCTCAGACAAGACAGCCTCTGCGCAGGCTAATGAACAAGCTGTCGCACCGAAGCGTGCTTCACCGGCCTCGGTCACTGTGCCCACCCACGCCAGGCGCGAGTGCCCTGCCGCCGCTAGACCAAATCTCCTCCAGCATCGCTGCAACGTTTAACAATTAAAACGCAGTCCGTCATCTGTATTTACAAAATCATTCACACGTATTGACCACACCAGCCTTCTTCTCTGACCTTTATTCGCCGCCTTGAGCATTGCATTCCATCGCTACACGCGGGCCCAGCGCCGGAACCGCGTGATGTGCTCCCCCTCATCCTTACTTATGTGCTCACACCTCTCGCCTCGAGACCCAGCACGGGACCGGGAGAACCGCTTCGTTAATTCCCTCCCTCTTCCCCAATTACACAGGAGGGAAAAGGTTGCCGTAGCCCGCGCCCGCTCGTTGGGGAGGGGTCAAGTGACACCTTCGTAGCGTGCAGCCGTTCATGGTCCGGTTGGGACGAGGAAAACAGCCCGAATACTCACATCGTACGTATCCCGTTGTCCCGTTGCTCGCGGAGCTAGAGGTCGTCGCTAGGTGTGCCGATGATGCAGCTGTGACGCAGCCCGGCACGCAGAGCGTGGTCAGGTGTCCCTGCGGAATGTGGACCACCGCGTATTTGGTGTCATCGACGACGGCGTTCTTGGGAGTAAGTTCGTCTCTGACTCCACGAACTGCCCATCTCCGCGCCTCTTGATGGATCGAGGAACAGTCAGTCGATGACAGAGGACAGGGTAGCCTCCATGATCAGCTACAGCGGCAGCTGCACGGTCCCGCCATCAGCTGCGGGTAGCAATCTGCTGCGGACCGGATGGGCGCGAAGTCTTTACAAACGTACTACGTCAAAGTAATGCGCGGGCACTCCGTACTCTGCACTGTCTCAGTCCGTCATCAAATAGCCCGAGCATAATATTCACAATAATATTCATAATATTCACCGAGCATAATAGCACTCGGGCATAATATTATGCCCGAGTGAGCCAGAGTCACATGCAACACTTCCATCCCATGCACCGAAAAGGTGGTATAAAGTGCTGAGCAAAAACTGATCAATGTGACTGGTTGGTTTTAGTATATTGGCAAATCATAGATTACCCGACTGCTGTTGAATTTTAATTCTTAATATACCGCTATGTTGAATCCCACGTGCAACAATGGTATATTAATATTTAATGGTCACTTAGAAGATTCTATCAAAGCTGGCGGCGAACGTTTCAACGTCGCCCAGGTCTCCGCGACGCATGCGGTGTCGTGCCGTGTGACGAGAGCTCGTTTTGCGTAAAATATCAAATGTTTACTACTCTTTTTGACGATCGCTTGATAACCTGTGCCGTCCCCTGGTTTCTCTCGACAGATTATTTTACCCAACTTGACAGCTAACACAATATACGAGGTGCGCGTGCAGGGTGCGACCGTGTCCAGACTGGATCACAACAAGGTCTACAAAGGCCAGCAGTCCGCCTCCAGAAAGGTCAGTCGAGAGATGCCGTCTGCTCTGATTATTACTCGACGAGTTCATGTCGAGAATGTCATGCCAGTTTGTTGCATTTGTCTAACAATTTTGAACGTGATGCTATGTTTTCGATCGCCTTAAGACGCATTTAACTTGCTCAGCCATTTAGCTTCGTTGCTACTCACGCACTCTGCGGCAAAAGACAAGGACGGCAAAACACCGCGATTGTATTGCGTTGCGGCAACATCCTGAATATTTTCCTCGTTTGCCCACGCACGGCTACCGGCGAGAGCCCGCTAACCGCACTACGCCTTGCCTAGCAGCATCACGCTCCAAGAACTCGCTGGGGTCGCTCGTGTCATTGACTTGTTGACAGCCAGAATACGCTTGATGTTCACTGCAGGTAGTTGTTACATCATCATAGAAGCTGCTTGCATACCAATTCATAATGATTTGTCTCCCAAATTGCAAAATTGTCTCGTGTCCGTCAATTGAGACGTGATGTTTTTGTTCTCAGGTCACGAGCATGCAAGCTCATGGTGCTTTACTGCACGTGCCTGCTCTGAATCCAGCTGTCTGAGTCTCCTATCTCTCTGAACGTCACCGGCAGGTGCGCTTGGGAGAAGGCTGTGAGGAGGTGCAGCACATTAACACGTGGAAGCTGCAGCCGCACACGACGCTTGCCAGCTCGGAGGTGGCCGGCATCTTCTTCGTCTGCCTACTGCTCCTCTCCGCTATTCTTGTCGTTTTCATCTGGAGGTTGGTCCGTCGGCCTGCTTTTCATCGGTATGAGCGCACAGTGCGTTGAAGGCATGTGATTCGAAGGCTGGGTGTTTACAAGGTTTCGACGCCTGTTCATAAGTATAATTTGGCTGAAGTTTGTTTTAATATAAACCTGTGGCTTCCACAAGCCACATAAATGACTACCCCACTTCTAATACAAAATGTCGAGTTTCAGGATCCATGGCCACAGCAAAGTGTATGCTATATTCAGAATTTAACAACAGTTTGTGACCATGCGTAACTTAGCATTACTGTGTATTAGTTGGGACTCAAGGTATAGTATTCTCGTCGACTTTAATTACCGTTTGCGGAGGTGAAGAAGTGCACTTTTTGTCACCGACAAAATTTAGAAGAGTCTTAGTTGTCACCTGAAGCCAAATCTATCAGAAACCGTTGCATTATGCCTCTAACTACCACGAACCACGCAACACGAGTGTAAAAAAAAAATGCAGTTGGTTATGAACATAAAGCATTTTTGTTTCGGAAGTTTCATTTGCATAGTATAATTTTCTGGCCATGCCAAAAGTCCCGGTGGTTAGGACACAACTCTTTGTACACGAGTGGTCGGGGCAGCGGGCTTAAGGTCGATGAGCACCTTAGTTTTACAGGGTGTAAACCTTGGCCAATAAATAATCACTCTCCACCGCTTTGCTATCAGCCTGTACGTTCATTTCGATGTTCAAACTACACCACCGTAAGTCGAGAATTGCTGTGATGTTTTATATCACAGCTCTGTACTGTGTCTATAACTACAGTGTCTGCGATACAATTTCATAGTTTTCCTTAGTTCCCAAAATTCATATGTTTAAGCCTTTACAATCCACGATTTGGAAATATTTACCCCTAAGCTAGAACCACCAACCATAACTCCAGCAATGGACAACCCTCTTCATGGCCTGGGCTACAGGGATGGCGGATCAATGTCCGCGTAACGAACGAGTCGTGCGTGGCGGAGTCGGTTGATTGTTTCGGATTTTGGGCACTGAGACTATTCTTCATACGACGACATTGTTTAGTGTCCTGCAACAATTCTTATTTCAGCGCCGCTCATGGAACAGGATCGAGACTTTTTGAAGCATCTTTTGAATAACGTGCATACCACATTCGCCCATAGCATTTGCCCCGCCGTACCGTCACGGATGTATTCACATACAGGGCACCACGTGTTCCAGCTGTGGGCTTAGGACCTAATGAGCACATATCACGAACTCGTAAAAGTATAACAAGACGTAAAATATTTACTACATTAACCCGCACTGTGTCATTATACTGTTTTGTATCTTAGCACGGCGTGCGGCGTCAATATCTCACAGCGGCTGCGGTATGCCGCTCACTGGGGCGTCCCTGTTTCGAACACTGGGACTGTCAAATGTCCGGCACAGGAGTGGCCGCGTGCCCGGCACAGGAGTAGTCGTTCACTGGGGCGTCCCTGTTTCGAACACTGGGACTGTCGAATGTCCGGCACAGGAGCAGTCGTTCACTGGGGCGTCCCTGTTTCGAACACTGGGACTGTCGGATGTCCGGCACAGGAGCGGCCGCAAGCCCGGCACAGGAGTAAACGTTCACTGGGGCGTCCCTGTTTCGAACACTGGGACTGTCGAATGTCCGGCACGGGAGCGGCCGCAAGCCCGGCACAGGAGTAAACGTTCACTGGGGCGTCCCTGTTTCGAACACTGGGACTGTCGAATGTCCGGCACAGGAGTGGCCGCGTGCCCGGCGCAGGAGTACTCGTTCACTGGGGCGGCCGTGTGTCCGCCACGGATAGGCCGCGTGCCGGCGCAGGAGCCGCCGTTCAGCACTAGGGCGGCCTCGTTTTCAGAACAAGAGAGGATGCATGTCCTGCACAGGAGAGGACGCGTGTCCGTCACAGGAGAGGCCGCGTGTTTGGCTCAGGAGCAGCCATCCAGCACTGAAGCGGGCACACGCTCGGCGCTGGAGCTGCCGCATGTCTGGAGAAGAGAGGCAGCAGGAGAGGCGGCATGTCCGGTGCAGGAGAGGCTGCATGTCCGACACAGGAGAGGCCGCGTGTCCGGCACTTGAGTGGGTGCGTGTTCGGCATTAGGGTGTGCACACGTTCGGCACTGGAGCGGCCGCATGTTCGACAGAGGAGAGGCCGCGTGTCCAGCACCTGAGTGGGTGCGTGTTCGGCACTAGGGTGTGCACACGTTCGGCACTGGAGCGGCCACATGTTCGACACAGGAGAGGACGCGTGTCCAGCACCTGAGTGGGTGCGTGTTCGGCACTAGGGTGTGCACACGCTCGGCACTGGAGCGGCCGCGTGTTCGACACAGGAGAGGCCGCGTGTCCGACGCAGGGCTGGAAAGCGCTGGTGCCGGGCTGCGCAGCGCTTAACCCTGGCTCTGATTTGGCCGTTTTTCATGACGAGGACTGATGGTGGTTGGGGGGGGGGGGGGGGGGGGGGGGGGAGGGGGGGGGAAGGAAACGTCGATGCGACCCCCGTGTCGTTTCCGATCTGAAAAAGATAAGGTCTTCCGGAAAAAAAACAATGCTTTGGACGCCGGAAGTTTGGGCGCGATTGCACGATCTTGAACAGGAGAGGTATCTTCCGGAAACCTTAAGGGGTTGCATGCCAAGCTGAGGGCTAGGCGAGGGCAATCAGGGCGAGGGCTGATAAATTAAACATGGCCAAACATCACGTTTGACGCGTTCATCATGCAGTTATTAGTATTACTTGTGTAGGCTTAATGGCCAGTTTCCCAGAGATTTAACATCACCATTAGCTGGGGCTTAATTGGATGTAATTGTTGAGACAACAGGACAGGTTTTGCATGACTTTGATGACACCAACTACACACCAACAATTTGACTACCATTCAGCAATAGTTTTGCCCCTGGATCAATGATTGGCTTCCTGAGTGATGCAACAGGGTGATTATCCTCCACCCTGAAATGCAGCTGTCTGTTAACCTACTGCCTTCACAAATGCACATAATTTATTTTGCGTTTGTAATTTATCACGTGTATAACCGATGTAGGCCTCGCACACCGCCTACCGCACCTCAGATTTAGCGAATTGACCGGTTGACAGGCTTGAGATAACATCTTTTATATCGTCACGATATCGTGCATGGAGCTAAATGAAGGGACAATGTTAGCAGCAAACGCACAAGATACTTTTACACGCCTTAGCACTTTCATTTGTTCGTCCCGGCTCGGCTGGTTAGAGTGCCTGCCTTCTGATTCACCACCCATGGCGGAGTGGGTTCGAATCGCTTAGATGCTCGCTTTTTGCCCTTGACAGGCCTGGCCTACGGCCGGTGGCAGCGGTCGCGGTAAAAGTCAGTTGACATGGCAGGACGGATCGTGCCGAACATCGTAGCACGTTAAACTTTTACCATTGAAGTCTGCGTTGCCTAGAATTGCGCGGTCGGATGGTTAAGATCAGGGATCACACAACAGCAATAGCGTGAATTCAGATCCCTGAAATGCATCCATTCAAAGAGTTTGGATCAAGTCTTTGAAAAAAGGTGCTGAAGGTGTGCAAAGATATACACACAACGACACACACATACACACACACACACACATACACACACACACACACACACACACACACACACACACACACACACACACATACACACACACACACACACACACACACACACACACACACACACACACACACACACACACACACACACACACACACACACACACACACATATATATATATATATATATATATATATATATATATATATATATATATATATATATATATATATATATATATAAGATATCTATCTATCTATCTATCTATCTATCTATCTATCTATCTATCTATCTATATATATATATATATATATATATATGTATGTATATACACAACAAACACTCCTTAACGTGAACTCTGATCCCTGAAATGCATCCATTCAAAGAGTTCGGATCAAGTCTTTGAAAAAAGGTGGTAAAGGTGTGCAAAGATATCTTGTGCATCTGCTGATGCCATTGTTGCATGGGTTTTGCACCAGATTAGGTTATGGAGAGCATGGTAGAAAGTGCGAGGGCTAAACCGGTAAAATACCTGCGATTTTGCGAGGATAGTAAAGACCGCCAACGGTTCTGGTTGCTGGGATGATGACGCCACCTGGCCAAAAGGGATATTATTTTCAGGTGCTTGTAGCATCCTGCCAATCTGTAGATCTAGGGCTACACGGATGCATCTTTGCCATATACATAGGGTTGAGTGAGGGGGTTTGGGGACTCAGTACAAAATGACTGAGCGACCTCCAAAATGCCATTAAAACAGATTTTCTCCACATTTGACCCACATCCCTTTCAGAGTTGGGAGCAGGGGTGTAGTTTCTCGAAAATCTTCTTTCTTTTTTTGCAGATCTGAGCTCTAAACCGTGCTTAATGATGAAAACATATGAATACAATTTTTGTCAACTACCAAATCCGGTAGATCGGAAGCTTTTCCATCCCTGACCTCATGTGCGAACGTCACTAAAATTCTACCCATGGTTTGCTCTTATGTTAATAAACCAGAAGCTACTAATTATAAGTTGATCCTAAGAGAACAAGACAGTCCCAATTTAGAGCGAACAATTAACAACCGAGTGGAAGGACCTGGCTCACGTCACTTGCCCTTATCGAGACCAAGTACGCGGAACCTCCAAATCCTTAACAGAGGGCAGCTGTTCGAGCAAACGTGACTGAGCTGGAACATCACTGAGGCAAGCTAATTATTTTACCGGGTCAAAGACAACACAATTCATGTGTCCCGCCCAGCGTTACCGATGTCCCGGGTCCAAGACTACGGCGACCAGTTGCCACCCAGCATCATCACATCAAGAAACAAGGACTTCCTCCGGTCCCCTAACCGGTATTTAAGGCTCCGGGGACAGGCGTTTTTGCACCTGAGAGCGGTAGGTATGCTGATGATATTTATGCACAGAGACGCCGGGGCGAACTGATCCAGTTCTCCCTTAACAAAAAGGTTAGGTAATGATTAAATAGTGTCGTACGTTATGCGTTATGCGTGATATGCAACCTGCTTTCTCCCCGGGTGGGTAAATTACTGATGTATGACCGCCTGGCTCATCATGCTGATCAGCTGTTCGGACTTGGTCGAGGGCAGCGCTGATTCGGTCAGTGGAGCTTGCTGCGTTAACATCAGCTTCTGATGCCGCCCGAGACCATCCGGACCCGGTCCTCCCTCCCGTCTGCGTGGTCTCGAGGGCTCCTGCACGGACTCAGTCGCATAGCTTTCTCGGGCTAGAGAGGATCAATTCCATAATGGCTCAAGGGGCGACTTCAGTTTTCTGCAATGTTTGGCAAGCATGCCTGAGTGGTGGATGAATACAGTGTAATTGAGGTCGAAGCGAAGGCATTTCAGCAATAAATTTGGCATTCATCCAAAACAAGTTTCGAAGCTAAAAAGGACAACTGGAAACTGTCGGGCGCTGCTCCGAGTCAGCGTGACTAATAACCAGCCTCACGCGCAATGATTCCGCCTAAATTGAGTCATTCAAAAGACTAAACTCACCAGCAATCTGTTTGACATGTTGAACAAATCATAAATCGTACCTTGAGGGCAGCCTCCGCCAACTTTTTCAGTAAAGTAGCGCCAGAGCTGAAAGACGGTGGGTGCAGCACGGGGAGCGATCCACAGTTACCGCACGCTGTTAAGACCACTCAACTCATAAGTGCCATTCTCCGCAGCAACGCGCTCGTCACGAAGTCTGAATGGTTTCTGCAGACAGCACCAGCCTCGGCTTTCTGTGCTGTTCGATTGCAGTACGGCGCTATCGAGCGCTCGGGCCTGGCAGCCATTGTTTTCTGACCGCCTCGCTGTTGAGCGCGACTGCCATGCCATGACTTGGTAATATGAGCATGATGTGGCCCGCGATGTCAGCCTCAGTCCATCTGACTGACAGCGATAGGTTGTACCCACGCTGCTGCATCCGGAGAAAGCTTGGCCCAATATGCAATGCAAGAAACATGGTCATGTACGACATATGGAAGAATGCGAGCTCACAGCATGCTTACAATACGTGCCATCAAAAGTGATAGCAAATTTTTTCCTATGTGTCAGCTTCTTGAAACCGCGAAGGTCGGTCGCTAAGGTATGAGCATAAAACTTGCTGTTCAGGTAGAACCTTAGGCTGGATCTTCAGACTTCAGCATTCCAACACATCCGTTGGCTTCATGCTTAGCTATCGCCATAGGCACTTTAACCAACGCCTACTTCGCAGTTCACCTTTTGTAAATGCTATGTTGCCGCATTATTGAAAAAGAAGCACGCTTGACCGGGCAGCGGCTTTGCGTTCTGCCAGATCTCGCGGATTAAAAACGTGTGCTGATCGAAACGATAAGATAATGGTGGCTTGTGGTCGTATATTGATTACCTAATTTGCTTGATATAGTTAATTATACTCGGTACCAGATGGGATGCCCGAAAATGCATAGGAAATCAGGAAAGGTGCACTAAAAAATAATTATATCGGATACAGTTGCACTGAGGTTATGATTCCGACATGGCTCGGCTTTCTCATTGGTGTTGTTTTTCATTGGTGTTGTATTGTATTCGTGCTTGCACTCAGTAGTCAGACGGGTTCCAACAATAATGCCGGCCAGACACCGTTCGCTGGATCGTGGCGGTTTATGCAATCTTAAAAGTTCAGCAGCACACGATAGTCAACTTACCAGAAACCATGGATTTCCGGTAGTATGCAATCGTCCAAAGTCACGCACCAGTCTCAGATGATCCATTAAGGATTTCTGACACAACACAGATCGCCCCGTCGTACTGAATCGTTGTTGAGCAGCTAACCGGTCAGTGAAGTCATATGCCTCTCCGAGGTACCGCGTTACGGTCCGCTGCCCGGCTCAGCCACAGCCACCGGCTCTGCCAGCGATTGGCCTTGGCTCTGTCTCATTGTCGCCGTGTAGCTAAGCTTGACAGGATACTGTGTCTGTTTGAACTTGAAGGGAATGTCAAGTAATGTGAGTGCGATTTATAAGGAGGAACATGATGAACGCGCATTACTTTACGGAAGCGTTGGTTCACATTTAGAGATATTGAGACAAACATCAGATATGATGGAAAACGTTCTCTTATAACTAAAAGTATGATTTTGATTGCATAAGTATGTTCTAAATTACGTGTTTACACAATTTTAGAAGTTCTTCTCAATGCGTTATCGCTTGTTTCCGTCATGGAACGTTTTTATGACGTCAGAGTCGCTTCCAACTTGACCGTGTGAGATTTGCCACTAGCGTTCGGTGGGCTCACTTACGGCACTTGAAACGCCGCAATATTATATTTGTGTCCGTCCATGTAAGGTTATCCTCCCAACCGAAATCCAAACCTTTTGAGTGCGACCAATCTGCATGGCGGCAGTCAGCATTCGGCCAACGACCAGTTAAGCCATTGATTTCGTTTCTCAATCGCGAATCGCGTTTTGTGATATATAAACCCAGACATATGGGCAGTCCTTCTAGTTATGACCGACATGAGGCTGAGGATGGAATGATGTAAGGATAGCGTCGTAACCGAGAATGCAAATGTAAGTAATAAAAGAGCATGACACCACGGAAAATATGCAAGAACACCACGAGAAAAGGCAACAACACGCGCACATGCCGCTAATAAGTTACAAGAACGCGCTCAGATACCAACACCATTCTTGCGGCGCTTGGAGGACCGCAAGTGAGCTTACCGTCCGCTATCGCGACAACTCTCACACGGCCAGTCTGGCAGTGTCTCTGTCGTGAAAACGTTCCATGACGTGAGCAATGAGGTATAGCGGGGCGCATTTGCTAAATAGCGCTAAATAGCGAAAGTTTGTTATTAAGGGCAACGTTTTGCACGTTAATCAGACTAAGAGTTACAAAAGAGCTATTTCCATTACATCTGAGATTTGCCTCAACGGTTTCAAATGTGGAACACTCCTGATGTAGTGCAATGCTCGGCAGGGTCCCTCCTGCCTTCTGACGGTACCCGGCTTTTAGTGTGGCCGTTGCCACCGGCCACAGGCCATCCCAGCCAAGCGCAAACAGCAAGCGCTTAAAGCGACACAGATCCGTCCTGCCACGAGTGGGAGGACCGGGAGACTCCGTGTTCCTGAGCTATCGGGATGGGCAAAGGTGGTACAGTTTATCACACGTTTGTGTCCTCAGACGGCGGCGGACGCTGTGCCCGAACAAGACGAGCGACAAGCCGGCGGGCAGCCAGGCCGGCTGGCCGGCGCCCTCTCAGGAGTCGGTGCCCGCTCCCCTGTTCGCGCAGCACGTGAGCCAGCTGCGAGCTGACGCCGACGAGGGACTCAGACGGGAGTGGCAGCTGCTGCAGATGGCAGCGCCCCTGGCGGACGGCACTTCAACTAGTGGCACGACCGCGGTCCCGACGGCAGGGACGGGGGCGGCAGCCTGTAAGTCACTGCCGTGTTGGCAGCTCAGAGCTGCAGACAAGGAGCTGTTGTTCACTTGCAAATTAAACAACGCTTGTCGCGATTTGACAAACGCGACAGTAAATGGCATTGCATCGCATTACCCCCGCGCCAGAATTAGGTACAACCCAGAAAGGACGACTATTGTTACGTTTTTTCTTAAACCGTGATTTCTCACTTCATCGACATTTTCTCCAGTCGTTTTTCCGAGAACCAGCCACAGCATAGCATCAAGACTCCACATCCACATCCACCTGGCATCCAAGACATCCACAACAGTCGGGACGTTGTTTCGTTCCGAAACAATGCCCTTTGTGATTCCTTTGAGTAAGGGGTTTGCTTCTTGGCCGCTTCGTAAATTTTCCGCTAAAAAGGTCATTCGTGCAAAGCGTTAATGATTTCTACCATCCCTTAGCACTGCCATGTGACCGCTTAAGGTGCTGCCCAGCATATGCACCTCCATGCATAGTGCACAAGCGTCCCACGTGCTTGGAGAAGGGATATCACAGCAACTTAGGCTTCCACTTTCACCGCACCGATATAAATTGTGAGAAATAACATTTAGTATCTAGGCCGATCCTACTCCGGAGCTGTCCGCCACCCGCCTCCCGGAGAGCTATGGATGTGTCGTGTCGACGGCCGTCCTCGGCAGCTCGTGTGAACTGTCGGCTCCCATGCCGCCTCTCAGGAATCACGCAATGGGGGTGGGAGGGGAGGGGGGATGACGGTTTTGTTCCCGGTGCATGCTTATTGGCTGGTGGCTGCGTGCGACGCACACGCAGGAAGTACAAGCATGTATTGTGAACGACGTGTGGACTGCTGTGAGCCACGCGACCCAAACGACATGAACCACTGACATTCAAACCCCTAATGACAGCGACTAGAGCTGCTGAATCAATGTCATATTATGCACGCATGATTTCCTCTCAAAGACGCATAATTCATGAGGAGGCACCCTGGAATTAATATCGACCGTAGATCCAGCCCGCGTTCTGTACGTCCTAGGGCAGCCGACGTGGGTACCAATCGCCTCGCAGCGGTACCGCAACCGGCCAGTACCGGCGGCGTACTTCGTGGACGGGTACCAGAGGTCGCGTGCCTTCATCGTGACGGAGCGGCCGGGCGCAGCTGCGTGCGACGCCCTCTGGCGCCTGGCTTGGGAGCAGGGCGTCACCACGGTCGTGCTCATCGGAGTACTACAGGTGGGATCCATCAGACAGCTGACGCTGCAGGCTCCGACGATGTGATGGCACCCCGAGTCTCGGGGTCCCAGAAATGTTTCCGTTTCACAGTCAGCTCGGTTAGGGGTCCTGCAGTCAGATCTTGGCGATTCATTTCGCGTGCTGCACTTGCACGTAAACCAAGGCTCGTTGACTTGTTCAGGGCGAAATGTGTAGCTGTATTTTGGAATACATATGCTGCTTCAATGCGTAGGCTAAGAGATTTACAATCGATGTCCCAGCTCAAGTGTCTTTGCGCAAATGTTGTCAACACTTGAACGTGACTGGTCCGGGGAGACAAGGCTCGGCCTTTAACTCACGCTTTGTGCAAGGTACCTGATATCTTTGCAGGTAATGACTGCAGGTCTGACGTTGTCAGCAGCAGTAATTGATAGGTCTTAAGAAACTGTGTCGTGTAAGCAGTTAAGCACTTGTTTGCCAGATGTTTGATCATCTCCGCCTTTTCGCAGCATGACCATTATTTCATCTCCCCAATCGATTGACAGAAGTTGATAGTCCCAAATTTCGACACACGTGAAGAACACCGGTTGGCATGGGGTCTAGGTTTCGATGACGCGACGTTGACACCATGCCAGCCAATGCGGTAAATTATACGGGCAGAAACGTGGGGTCGATGTGTGCGTGCCAGCAAGCCTATTGTTCGCAAACCACGGATTTTCTTTTTTTAGGGTGATATCTAGGATTTACGTGGCTGAGATCTCAACACCATGATATCTCTTGTATATAAGATTTCAACATCCAGAACAGATGATGAGCGTGAGAGCACCTGCGCGATGTAGGCGACTGTATCGGCTGCGACTTTCTAGGGTACCTCAAAGCCGCGTCCGGCTCTTAAGTACTCCAGTAATCAACCAGAAGGCTGTTAATGCCGCTTCTTCCGGCGCCGACCCTAGGCGCAAGACGCTGTCGCCTTGGCCGCGAGTGGTTGCATCATAGATGTAACACGTCTGTGTATCCTCATTCATCGCGATCAACACCCACTCTGAATATGCCCATTTTGTATTTTACGATGCTTTGTTCGCGATTGCTAAACGCAAGAGACAGCGCACTGATATCGGTCGCCGAAGGCCTCTGTCTCCACACGAACTTACTTTCTGGCACCATCTACCTGATAACAGCTGACAAGGCTTCTACACCTTTAGTCGTCCCCCCCGCCCCCCCCCCCCTTTGACGTACACTGCACAAGCCGTCTTATTGGTTCAATGCGGGAGTTATATGGTTCCCCTGCAGCTCCATGCACATGGACTTGTAGGTATATAAGGATGGTAGCACTTGTGGCATATTACACACGTGTTATGCTAGTGGTGAACAATTGATTGGTGACAGCCATGCGTGCATAGAACCCCACAACCATTTCACACGACAGCATGGAAGTCTCGGAAAATGCTAACAGTGTCTTCTTTTGGCAGGGCATGGAGGAATGGTTCCTGCCTAAGCTGGGTCGTGTTCGATCATTCCGTGACCTCAGTGTCAGAGGTCACACAGAGCGAGCCCTGGTGGGCTGCGTCGTCCGAGAAACGATCGTGTCCAAGCTGAAGGTGCTTAAGCTCGTGGGGATGATGATCATGTTCGTGCCGTACCAGGAAAGGTTGCTGAAGGTGCCTTAGCTCATGGGAATGATGATTATGTTCGTGCCATATCAGGAAAGGTTGCAATGTGCTCCCCATTGCCTAAAAGGAATTTTCCGATTGGTAACAAATTGCTGAAAAAAATTGGTAAAAAAATGGCTGATTAATCTCTTGTGGTAAACACTTCGGCAACAAATATTTGAACTAAAATAAAAAGGCAATAACAGTATTTTGGAAATGCCCCAGGGTGCTGAAATTAGAATTCAAGATGGGTTCTTGATCACAATATAAGAAACACCTAGCGGTCCAAATGGTTCTAGAGACTGCGATAGACAAACCGGATAAACTACGGTTAATCACTTACAAATTTGGCAAGAATGATGATGATGATTGGGGTTTTAGGGCGCGTCGACTTCTAGGGTCATTTTACACCCAATTTGGCAGGAATGAGTTGCCCGCTAGGCAATCAACCATTGAACCAAAATCCTTTGGGCTTCTCATTTCTTTTCAAAAATAATGTTCAACGTTACTGGATGGGAGATGAAAATAAAAAAAAACACACATTCTGTGTGCGACGGCTACAGCCGTGGAAAATGATGAGGAGATGAGAATAGAAAAGGCATTCCGTGTGCGACGGCTACAGTTGTGAAAAATGATGAGGAGATGCGAATAAAAAAGACATTCCGTGTGCGACGGCTACAGCTGCGGAAAATTATGAGGAGATGAAAATAAGAAAACAATTTCTATGTGCGACGGCTACAGCTGTAGAAAATTATGACGCAACTGACAAAAGCATGGCGCAGGTAGGTGCGCGGTTTTTGCGCTTAGGGTTTGTACGCGTGGCCGACGTGCATACAGAAACACATGTGTGTAAAGATCAATACGCCAGCCAGTCATGGATGATCTTGGAGGCAACATGAGTTGTCATCAAGGCTGCACACTAGTGAAACGCCAGCGGCGCGGTGCTGTGGTCACAGCAAACGCTACGCCGTGGACTGCCGAAGCCTCCTCTGCACGATACACTTTATGGTGTATCGTTATCGTTCTTGCTTGCGGCTGTGTTGATTTTTATTGGGATGATTTTCGTCTCGGTCCATTGACACATTGCCATTGATGAACTTCTCTGAGGATTCAGTTTCATTAGCGAGAAAGCCAGTGCCGTACCTCTCGGTACAGTGCAGCCAAACTTATCGCTTGTAATTCGTTCCGTCTTCTTTTCCTTAGTGCTTGCAGCATACGGGTAGCAATCCGCGCTTAGCCTGCTCGGTGCCGTTTTGATCAAGGTGGGAGCTCTGAATTAAGTGGAGCGGTGTTGGTCGCGGGTGGCCCGTGGGGTTCAAGGTGTGCGGACACGGGTGGCCCGTGGGTCTGAGGGGTGATGGAGAGGTGCTGGGCACGGGTGGTCCCTCGGGCTCAAGGTGATATGGAGCACACAGGTGGCCCGTGGGGTTCAGGAGTGATGGAGCAGTGCTGGACGCGGGTGGCTCGTATGGTTCAGGTTGACATGGTGCGGTGCTAGACAGGGGTGGCCCGTGGGGCTCAGCGTGATGCCGGCCTCGGTGTTGCCGACAGGGCCGGTCCCGCCGGTGCGGCGAGCGGCGCCTCCAGCTGTGGCAGTACACCGACTGGCCAGAGCTGGGGATGCCCGACAGTCCCCTGCAGCTGCTGCACTTCACTCGGCGCATCATCGTCAGCGAACACTGCACTGGCTCACCCACGCTGGTCGTCTCGGGGTAAACAGAGCTGTCGTGATGTGGGGGAGACCAGGAGGCGAAGGTCGCACCGGGGTGACCCGCGCTGGGGGTGTCGGGGCACCAGCGCTGATTGGCTCCATGCAGCCAGCATTAGTGACCGGTGGGTAGCCGGTGCCAACAACTCCGGGTGAGTGGTGCCGGTTGTCATGGCATGGCTAGCGCCACGGTTTTGCAGTAGCCATCTCTTCAGGCGTAAAAGGCCTGAGCAGTTGAAGCGCCATGAAACAACAATCAACGCCTTGCTAGGTGGCATGGGCACTTCTCTCAGCGGTTGGTCACAAAACTCGTATGTCTTATCGTATTATCGATACGGCTTGGTTCCAAATAACGTGCCACCCATGCTTGTTGGGGTGTTTTTTTACCAGTTAAAAGCGGCACATGTTTATTCGTAATCTAGCCATCTTAAACTTTGCTCTGGTAGTCTAACCATCCATGGTCCGTTCTCAGCTCACCATCCTGCAGTGCAGGGCTGTTTGTGGGACTCGCCACTCTTCTCACTCAGCTCAAGCACAAACAGGAGCTGGGCGTATTCTCCTACTGGCAGCATGCGATAGGTCAGTGACGCTCGTGAACGCTATCGGTCAGCTCAAAACAAAAGCTGCTCGAGTGAACCAGGATTGCGTCAGGGAAGGGACTATGCTTCACTGTGGTGTCCCGTGGAAGGTGGTGCCCCCCCCCCTCCCCTGATGGAAGTCCTCTGATTTCGGCCGCTCGATATTAAGATTTTTGGTTTGTTTCGGCTAACTATTCTGTTATGTGCGCTAGATTTACCCCACTCTATTTCAAAAGATCTATTTTCTTCTCTTCATGTTGTGCTTGACTCTTTTGACTGAAAGAGAAGGCAGATCATCTTGGGTTCAGCTGTAAATAAAGTGAAATTAACCTGATATTAAATGATTGCACCGAATAAACCGCTGGCGCTTTTCACCTTATAGCGATCCATTGGAAGCTTTCCATTGGAAAAGAGCACCGACACCGACGCCCGGCGTTGCAGTCTCCAAGGGCCGGGCGGCGACGGCCTTTCAGCTAATGCTTGGCGGTCAAGGGGGAGAGGGGGGGGGGGGGGGTTGAGCACGTGTCGAAAGTGATATTTTAGGACACCTTATATAGGTACAGGTGTAAAAGGTAGCAAGCTCTTTTCCGTCCCCGTCCCTGTCCCTGTCCCCGTCCCTGTCCCCTCTTAGTCTCCATCCGTAGATTTCAACTTTATTTCTTAAACACGCGCTCAGGTGGGGGTAAAAAAAGTCCCGAAGGTTTTTCAAAAATGGTTTACGAACGGCAAGGCGTAGCCACGCAAAATTTTGCATAACTATAGATTATTGAATAGCGGATCGTTGGATACCAACAATTTAGATGTATCTTGTAAGGTCGCTGACCTATGGTAGGTCAAAATCAGGTCATGGTTTCAGCAAAGGCAATATCCGGGGAATCGTCCAATCTGATACAATACGGAGTGTTTGACAAAGCCATACATCTCTGAGGTGCTCTCTTAGGCACCACAAATATTGAATAAGCAAATTACGTTGACCTAAAGTCAGTTATGAAGGTTAGACCAAGGTCAAAACCAACCTGATTCATTACTCTAGGGCTTGCTGCATGGGATAGTTTGTGGTGCTCATTCCAAATTTATTGACAGCAGGAACCGCATTCTGCATCTTTCATTGACCTCTTAGAGGTCAGAACGGGTCATGTATCTAAGATGACCCGGGCCGACATTTTGTTTTAGGAACAAACTGCCAAGTGTAATCTTTGTCGCTTATTCAAATGCAAAACTCAGAGCAGTCTCGTATAATTTTGGTCACCACGCCCTTCAAAAGTTCAAATAAAGTCACTGGCCTAAAATGGGCTTGTGACCTTTTGCCTAGAAACAGTTGCCTAGGTTCTGGGGGCACTTAAGAGACCAACCTGGAACTTGACCTCGTTTGACCTTGTTTGACCTGAAAATTATGACATAGGAAGCTCAAAATTTGATCTAAGTGAGTTAGCGTACGGGTCCAAACACTCTGTGAATTTGGTGTCTCTAGCTTTCTTAGTTCCCGAGATCTCAGGGGGGGGGGGATCAAAATGACTTCCCACCGGAGCGAAGGATACCTAGCCGGCCACCCGGACGCGTGTTAATTTTGGATTTCCGGATTGCTTTTCGGGACGGATTAGCACGTGCAGCAACACTAATTCATGACGCATTTGCGCAATCCATATTGTTTGTGTTGCTGAAGCTGTTAATTCCATTCTACGAATCAAAATTGACATTGCACGAGTAAAATATTCTGGCCAGTAGATGGAGAGCATTTTGTGTCAGTTTCGGAGTCCCTGCGCCCGTCTTTCTGCTGATACGGGGACGGTGGCCTCGGGTTAATAATGAAACCCTCAGAGGGCTACATTATACATTGGTCCCCTCCGTGATGCGGCAGGGCCTCTAACCTTGACATATGGCACTGGTTCGAAGCATGAGCCGCCACTAATGCAAAAGGATCCCGTACCGGCGCAGGGAGTCCAGTAATTGGCACCGGGACACCAGTTAGGCACATCAGCCCCTGGATGGAACGGTGTAGAGGTTCCAGTACGTAATTTTTCCTATTCCACCCTCGCTGTAGCGATCGACAGCTCGTACGCGGAGCTAGGCGGCACACTTGATAACGCAAAGGATGTTACGGAATATCGTATGCAATTTCTTGAGCAACTGGCGGCATCATAGACATTGCCGCACGACCATTACGAATGATGGAAAAGAGAGCGGGAGGATTATTTCAACGTCAAAATTTAACACAAGAACTTAACACAACTGTTCGTGATGTGGCTTCACGTTTTTACTGGGTCCTATAATGCGATCTGTGTGCCCCTCTGGCTACACCCGGGCTGCAACGACTGAATACACAATACAGTCCAGTGCAGAAGTAAAGACACATCGGCACATGACCACCATAAGGCTAACTTCGCATCGCCATACCCGCTTCACCCCGTTCTGTGGCCACCTCGTCCACCTTCTCATCCGTCGCGTGCGTAGAAAAAGCGGCCTCCGTTTGGACCATAAATCTCCGACGGCCCATAACCGCGCTGACGGTCCACTGATTTAGCGGCCGGCCCCGTTATCCATTAGCGGCGGTGGCTCTGAACGCTCCCCCGGTCACAGGGGCTATGGCCTGCGTCGGCTCGTTAAGGGGCGGAAGGTGGAGGGGGGGGGGGGGAGCACAGCACGCGATGGGGGGGGGGGGGGCGTGTGCAGGCGGCAGGAAAACGTGGTGAGATGTGTGAATGACGTAGTGAACCCGGTTAATAAAGAAAAGTTGTCACGCTAATGAGTTAAGGAACTTTTATATTGCAGCATGTTTACATAGCATGCATCACGATGTGAGTATGAAAGGAAAATGTCAAAGATTGCAACATGCAGAATGAAAATGGCAGGCTAGAGATGTTGGACTTAGGCACGTTTTTAAACTAGGCCTTTAATTTAAACCAATCAGTTATTTTTGTAGAGTGCTGTCTCGGTTAAGGCACAGGCCTTCAGGGTAGGGCTAAACAAAGCATGCACTTTTGCTCAGGTTTAAAAGCAGTGGATGTCGCTGACTTGAGGAGTCCCAATAGAACAAAGAGAGAGAGAGAGAGTTTGACAGAAATGATGTTCCTGAGTCTCTGATTTGGAGATAAAGTGTTATGGCTAGTATTATACTTCATTTAGTTGTAATAGATGCATATATTGCCGTTATGGTTAGCAGTGTAATATATTTGCAGCATTGCAGTTGGTAGTGTAATATATTTGCGGCGTTGCAGTTGACAGTGTAATGTATGATATGATATGAGTATGTATTATATACTTAGGTATGATATTATATGAGCATGTATTATACTCAATACTCTCCGATTTTGAGCAGTAGTTTTCTGACTACAATAAGGTAAGGAACCTACATTGCATCGCACTATGTCGTACTTGAATCGTACTTGTGTGATTCAGACAACTTATCTTTATGCATGCATGCTTCTCTCAATTTTGTTTTTCGTGTTATGACCATGTCCTTGCTATTCGCGTTGCGATTGTCTTCAAGGCTGGTCAAGTGTGGAACATTGCACGGGACTCTGCTGCATTAATGTAATGATGGCCATCGTCCCTGATTATTCATCTTACACGCATCGGTCGTCTTTCCGGTCGTTGTCAGGAAAGGCACGGTCCCCAGTTACTGCCACAAACTGTGTGCAAGCGATAACTGCAGCGTCGTAGAGAACAGCGCCAAGACTTGTTCCTTGGGTCATATCGGTCAGTCGTATAACGATGCTGCCACATGGTGCCACCAATACCAGACGGTTAATGCTCACACTCGGCACGAATCATCACGTTAAACTACAAGTAGGTGCTCTCCCACAATGTTGTGGTGGTAGAAATTGCCGTAAACAAGCAACCAGCTTTCACTTCCTGCGTCTGGTTGCTGATAATGAATCGTGTGTTGACTTAAAAGAAATGTTCCGCCTTTGAAAGATATTGAAGGAAGCATGAAATATGATGAAAAAGCTTACTTACAACCGTTGGTACACTTCTAAGTGTAATAGACCGCCCTAGACAGCACAGTTTCTGTATTTAGTAAATGTGCTCTTCAATACGTCATTGTTTGATTACGCCATTAAATCTTGAACAACATTGATTGAGAGCCAATTGACGGCCGTTATATCTGGAAATTGTGCTCACAAGCGCCGGATGTGAACGACCCGACAATCACATTTTTATTAACCTTGATCGTCGCATGGCTACTGAAATAGTCGGAGTGAATGACGTTATCGCGACGTCATGGATGCCTGGGTGACCTTGACATAGCCTCGCCGAAACAGTCTGCACATCTTCGCGGGCTCGTAGCTCGGAAACTAAGGGGGGGCTTAGGTCCTAAGACGGCAAGACTGTGAACTGCTCCAAATGATCTTCAAGATGGCTATTTCAGTTCAAAACCCCATACAAATGTGAGACTCAATTTAAAGTCTATGCCGGCACTTGTCCTATCAGACTTTGGAGCTCTACGCCATCAGTTGGGCCTAGTTTAGCCAGCCACACTCTATTGCTGGCTATAGGATGGAGTCCAGACAGCTGAATTGGCCGCCGCTCGAATCACCATTATTCACCGGACACAAATTGAATGGATTTCCCAGCACTCACAAGCTGATGGAGCTGATCAGCACGTGTGTCAAACTGAGTGCGGCTGTGAATTGCCCGATGGGTCGATCCCATGCAGCATCGCCGCAGTTTTTGGAGGGCTAGGGAGCTCAGAAACCAATCGTTGCAAACGAGGATTGTTTGCCATGCATTACCATAAGATCATTGCTAAATATATCTTGGTGGAATTAGCACTAACTAGCTCATTATAAACGTTATAGCTCATAACACATTTGTGCATTCCTGCCGCTGTATTTTAGAGCTGGAATGTCCACGGGACCATGCCTTCCCTAGCCTATTTTATTCGCTCTTAAGTGACATATCCAGCGTTTCTGCCGGTGATGGTGACAAATCCGAGCAAGCGGCCGCTAACAGCCAAGAGGTCCCTCCTTACCGGCTATCCTCTTTTCTATTCGGGACCATTCTCATACTCCATGGTCCTGCTTTGGTGATCACTGTCGGCCAGTTTTGTGAGCTAAGGCTTTAGTTCTTGACAGTATAATCAACCTTACCGTCGTGCACGAGGAGGCTTCGATTACATGCCCTCATCTCCGGGAGGCTGTCATCGACGCCACTGCCACTGCCACTGCCAAAACTGGTGCAGGGTCCCTTCCGTTCTGGAAGCTATTTGGGGGCGTTGGAGATTTCATAAAACACAACTCTCCCCTATTCTTGGCAGCCCAAGGCGCCTGTTGAGTGCCTAAAATACATAAAACAGCTCTATGGACACCAAAACACAACAAATCAAGACAGGGTCCTCAAGTCTTAACAAAGACATTCGCCCTTCTTGCTTCATCCATGCTTCATGCTTCCGACATTATGCTTTCCATGCCCTGATATACTGCCTCTTCATGCCTCCTGATTACTTTTGCCTCCGACATGACTTGGGCCTTTGGACCTAGAGAGGGCGTGCCACTTCTAGGGCGGGCGAGCGGTGCTCGGTGCTAGTTCCCTGGCTTGGTACACTGTGGCTTCTACAGGTTCCCTGTTGGTGTGCCTATCCCTCAATGGTTTCAGGTATAAATAATAACCCTTCATCGATGCATGATGTCAATGGGTTAAAATTTGCAACACTTCACATATTCAAACTATGTAAAATGCACATTTGCAAAGTAATAAAACCACCTGCAAATTTCAACACCACCTGAGGGCTTTGACGAAGCTTTGGGAACTAAAAATGTTCAAATTCTGAAGTGCGGGCATGATCTCCTGTGACTTCACAAGTCTATGGAAGTAATGAGCGTACTATTGCAGCGTGCGAAAAATATCCATATCGACGCTATCGTTATACGCGTGTGCATCGCAGAACGCCGGTCGCCTTAACGCGTCCCTTGATAGCGCATCCCTTGATGATATGGTTTTGGGTGCGAGGCAAGGGTCTTCGTGCATTGCCACTATATCCACTTGGAACGCGTACGATGTTGAGGCAAGCACACACCTTATTCTGATCCCACCCTTGGAAGAAGTAGACAGTCACTGAAGGATATATGTACCTTGACATTCGTTTGCGTATGCACATATGTGTGTTTATGCAGTGCAGCATTGGGAATGCCTTTGCAAAATATATGACATTGAGGGGGCATCTGGAGGCGCCACAGTACACGCCATTTTGGACGCCTCCGTCAACAGTTGGGAAAGAGGGCCACGGTCAAAGCAGAAATAGTTTGATAGTTACATTTAAACGTTTATAAGAAGCGCAGCGGGATGTCTCTCTTAAAGAGCTCACCAATAGCCAACCGACCCGAAGTTATAGGCAGCTGCGCAACTGGCATATGGACAAGCACGTGTTCCTGCGCGGCCGTCTCGAAAGCACTTGTCCATGGCCGGTCATGGTCTACACCGCCAGTCACTTCCGAGCGAGTGCCCGCTCCCACACAGTCCGCTGGATCCGCTGCCTGGTGTCCGTGCTGTTTGACAGCGTTGGGCATATTCCCGTTAATCGACAGCTGCCTTGGTCTTCAGGCCAGTGTCCGCACCTCCTGACGACGCTGGCCGAGTACGCGTTCCTGCACGACTGCCTGCTGGAGCGGGTGACGGCCGGGGAGACGCTCGTGCCCCGTGACGGGGCTCGCCGGTACCTGGAGCAGCTGCAGAGCAGCTGCGGCACCGGCTTCCCGCACTCGACCGCCGAGAAACAGTACAACGTGCGTGCTGTTTTACGCTGCGTTACTATGTACTTTACCGCTTCTGTGCTGCATTGTGGCTTATCACTGAAGTCAGCTAGTCGTGTTTCCTAGACCAATTCATCGTTAAGCCTAAGCGCAAACGGCTTCCAACGATGACGTACACATAGTGTGTAGAAATCATCTGACATGCGCTCCAGCTCACTTTTGACATAAGAGGCAGCTGTCGCACACCTGACCGATTTCAGAGCGCCACGGACCTGAAGGTGCGTCATTTCACTGTGTCGTCGGGGAACCGGCCCTGCAACGAGGGCAAACGCCGCGGTAGCAGCTTTATCCAGATGGAGGACTCGCGCGTGCGGCTGGCGCCGACGTTCGGACTCGACGGCACCGACTACGTCAACGCCTCCTGGCTGCCAGGCACGTGACGCTGCAAACCCGGCGCCCCGCTGGGCCTGACCTCGGAGACCTATTGCCTATTGCAATATACATTGCATATATATTGCCTGACCTATTGCCGGAGAACCGCTGTGGCGAAGTGATGTTGATGAAAAGGGAAAGCCATGGAAATCAGGGGCTTGGAATACGCGATGCAATGTTTGTTTTGCCATGCGAGATACCTGTGCTGTGTATAATCATGTGTATAGCTACCCTTGGCTGCAGTTTTTGGTGTTGGTGTTTCCAATTTATCGCGCGGCTCATGACGTGTGTCCGGTGCGGCTTCCACGTCTGCCGCTATCAAGCTTTATTTAAAACGGGCTGAGCGTTTCCTCCCATTTCCTGCGCTTTCCTGCGCTCTGGGATTTGCACCATGTATGTGGTTGAGTGGAAACCTATACATTCTATGGCGCCCCTTCATTCTGCAAATGGGTTGAGCAGGCGTTCGCTGTGGAAACACCACGCAGCTGAGGAGCGAACACCCAATAACCAGGTCACAGGGAGAGAGAGAGAGAGAGAGAGAGAGAGAGGAGGAGATAGAGAGAGAGAGAGAGAGAGAGAGAGAGAGAGAGAGAGAGAGAGAGAGAGAGGGAGAGAGAGAGAGAGAGAGAGAGAGAGAGAGGGAAGAGGGAAGAGAGAGAGAGAGAGAGAGAGAGAGAGAGAGAGAGAGAGAAGAGGGAGAGAGAGAGAGGGAGAGAGAGATGCATATATATATATATATATATATATATATATATATATATATATATGTATCTCTCTCTCTCTCTCCTCTCTCTCTCTCTATATATATATATGACTGGTGAAATGCCCTCCCGCAGTTATTCGGTGTTAGAGGTCTAACATATTTATGAACAGAAAATATAATTTTTAAGTTTTGTAGATTTCTAGCCTAGTTTTCTGCTCTCTTTCCCAAACCTATTCTCGCTTTGAAAACGCACACAATCGGGTTCTGAAGGGCATTCAATGGATGAAGGGCATTCCCGTGGCTCTAGTCTAAAAGCGATGTTTTCCTTTCTGCGCCTGGTATTACCTTCTATTTACAGGCTATCGACTGGCAAAGGAGTACATTCTGACCCAACACCCGCCGCCCAGCACTGTGCTGAGCTTCTGGCAGATGGTGTGGGAGCACCGCGTGACCACGGTCGCCTGTCTGTCACCCGAGGTCGGTGGCCCTGTCTCAGGCCGGTCCGCATGTCCCCTTGTAGGATGCGAAACTGTAGAATCCCAACTTGATTACTGCTACGAAGGCCATGTTAACATATCTGAAGTGCGGGCGAATGTATCTGTGACATTCAAACGTGTTGAAAACGAATGCGCTCTAACTCGAGCCGTAAAGCGGTGCTCAAGCGTGTGTGGCATGACTAGTGTTTAGTGTTATGTGATCGAAATGTCAATGCACTATTCCATAACTCCAGCAGATCGAGCTGTCTTGCAGGAATGTGGTGTGTTCTGGCCACTCGCGCAGCCCATTTACTGTCCACAATTTATCATCCGTTACGTGTCCGAGAGTGCCGACTGCAGCGCCACCTATAAGACCTCGTGGATCGTGCGTTCCTTCCGGATGGACTCCGCGGAGGTGAGATGGGGCTATCGTCACCCCTGTGGGCATCAATGACCATGACATCCCGGAGTAAATATCGCGTGTCTTTCACGGCAACCGTGGCGCTGGGATAGATTTGTTGGAAATTAAAGAATGTTCCGATGTCTATTGCATATTGCTTGATTGAACACCTATACTTAAAATAATTCAAGTAACAGCTTATCTTCCAATACATGACATTTCCCTGGAATGGAGTACGCCACTGATTGGGTCGTAAGGGCGAGCCCACTCTCAGGGTCAATTCAAACGCTGTGTGCAAAGCTCAGGCCCAGGGCTGGCTAACTGTCATGTATCGCATTCGCACCACGGACATTTTACTCAGGAACACATTAATGTAATCTCACTAAGTCCTGCATTACGAGCGGATGTAAACGCATGTCCATCACTGCGCACGCAGAAAAGGAGTGAGCTTATGGTAAAGCCGGCCTCAGTTGCATGCTTGGCCAGCTGTCGTGTCTGGTCCTGATTTATTCGGGACCTCCTTCGCCCGTAGTCTACTCTTAATACTGAAATCAATATGCAGAGCTTCAGCGCCGAGACTGACGGTGTGTGAGGTGCGGGTCTCACATTGGCACTCTTTATTATGGACCTGTCCGGGTCTTCAGCCTTAAGGCGGGAGGCAAAGCGTGAAGTGGTAGGCTTTCGGTCGCTCAATATTTGTCGGCGTTTGTTGGTTGCCCGTAGCTGGTTTTATAAATCGGAATGGTCAGCACAGCCCAGGAAGAATGAAATGGAGATAGTTATAATTTTACCAATGTTTGGCCTTTCAATCTAGTTGGTTCAAAGGGGGGATTATCGCAGCACCTAATGTTCGTAACCCCTAATGTATCACAACACCTAATGTTCGAAACATCTAATGTATCACAAGGCCTAATGTTCATAACCTCTAATATATCATAACCCCTAATGTATCATGACCCCTAATGTTCGTAACTCCTAACGTATCACATGGCCTAATGTTCATAACCTCTAATATATCATAACCCCTAATGTGTCACTACACCTAAGGTATCATTAGGCCTAGTGTATCAAAACACCTAATGCTTCACAACTCCTAATGTATTGCAACTCCTAATATATCACAACACCTAATGTATCGGAACGCCTAGTGTATCATAACCACTAATGTTTCATAGCGCCTAACGTATCGTAACGCCTAACGTTCATAACCTCTAATGTATCGCAACTCCTAATGTATCATAACGCCTAATGTGTCAAAACACCTAGTGTATCATAACCCCTAACGTATCGTAACTCCTAATATCAGCTGACGACGCTGGCGAGGGCGGGCGATTTTCAACCCCTTCGACCGCATCTGAACTTCCACTGAAGTCTACCAGATTATGTGGGCGTTTGTGCCGCATACAGTACTGGAAGGCCAGGCAAGGTGGGCGGTGTCCGAAAACTCATTCTTGATTCTTGTCATAAGACTAAGTCAAGTCTGCTTTCAGGCAAGCACCCCATGCAAGAGGCCTCACGTAAACGTTTCCCAAACAAGTACCAAGAGAAAGTGCGTGTGTAGTGCATTTCTGCGCTGCTATTCGGCATAGCTGCGTTCGTTTTTATCAACCTCGGCAGATGACTTAACATGAAATCAGTTACTTTTAGTAGTAAACTCTGTTCACATGAAAAATCATCGTCGCTCACGTTGTGGAGCAGTAACTTAAGGAATCAAATATCGCCATTTTCACGGGCCATCCTGCGCAGCACACCGCGCTACGGTGTCTCCCACAACAACACGAAATAGGTATCAGGAAAATGGTTTGCGCTGCAGAGACTGCGACGACGGCACGAAACACCGCGCTGACGACTGCAACAACGGCAACGCATAGCATTCGTTGAATGGTTTGGTGATTATTGCATTGGGCATGACAACAGAAGAGTGTAAGTTTTGTGCAATGGGCGACTCTGGACATGGTGTCCGACAATCCGCACTTGCGTTGCAGCAAGTTAGCGGCAAGCGACAAGCAGGTGATGTGCGGTCAGTGGGTCACAGCATCGACCGCAAGGCGGTCTGTCGCCAGCCAATGCTATGGCGGTGTGTAACATATGTGTGTCATATGCGTTGTTGACAAAGGGCAAGTTCCTCCTTCGTATTGTTGCGGAAACACGACTGCAACTTCCGATACGAGGTTTCACTGAGTTCAGCCCCCTCCCACTCGCTTGGGTTCAATCCATGACGAACTTCGAGAAGAGAGGCCCAAAGCCGGAGAAAAAGTCGTTTGCTGGTGTTTTTTCGTGGTAGGTTGAGTCAGTTTTTGCTGCTCGGGCCCTCCTCCCAATTCACTTTCGAAACCACGGCCGCTGTGCGCGTTGATTACCCTGCTTGAGAGCCGGCGATGGTTTTACGGTTCTATTTGACCGATCGGACTCGCCATTACGGTATTTTCGGGCGGCCATGCTGTGTGAGAATGTTCCAATATACGATACCACCCTAGCACTCGCCGAGAGATGGCAGCACGATGATGTTCGGTACACTTTAGTAGACTGCACATCGCCCAGCTGTGCGGGTCAGAATCGTGTGCGACGAACCCACAGCAGTCAGCTGATTTAGGAGTTACGAACATTAGGGGTTATGATACACTAGGTCTTACGATACATTAGGTGTAATGATATATTAGGAGTTGTATTACATTAGAGGTTACGATCGTTAGGAATTACGATGCGTTGGGTCTTACGACACATTAGGTGTTATGATACACTAGATATTATGATACATTAGGGAATATGATATATTGGGAGCTGTGTTACATTAGAGGCTACGAGCATTAGGGATTACAATACGTTAGACCTTATGACACATTGGGAGTTACGATGCATTAGGGGTTGCGATACCTTAGGTGTTGTGATACATTAGGAGTTACGATACCTTAGGGGTTATGACACATTAGGTGCTACGTACATTAGGCGTTATGAAGTACTAGCGGTTTGGATACATTAGGTGCTGCGATACATGAGTGGTTACAAACATTAGGGGTTTCGATACCGACCCGTTCAAAGCCGCCTTGCGCTCCCCGTTGCGGTCCGGCTTCATGAGCGGCTGCTGACGTGCGGCGGCAGGGTGCAGGGGCGCTGACCGTGCGGCTGTGTGAGCGGCTGCTGACGTGCGGCGGCAGGGTGCAGGGGCGCTGACCGTGCGGCTGTGTGAGCGGCTGCTGACGTGCGGCGGCAGGGTGCAGGGGCCCTGACCGTGCGGCTGTGTTAGCAGCTGCTGACGTGCGGCGGCAGGGTGCAGGGGCGCTGACCGTGTGGCTGTGTGAGCGGCTGCTGACGTGCGGCGGCAGGGTGCGGGAGCGCTGACCGTGCGGCTGTGTGAGCGGCTGCTGACGTGCGGCGGCAGGGCGCAGGGGCGCTGACCGTGCGGCTGGTGTCACTGCCCATGTGGCCGGAGGAGGCCTCCATAGACTCGGCCATGGAGGGCGTGCAGGCCGTGCAGGAGGTGCACGGCGAGAGGCAGACACCGCTGCTCGTCGTCGACAGGTCAGTCGTCCGTCCGCCGCCGATTGCCGTCAGTACGGCTCGTATGGGCGGCAAGTGGTGCGTCGCATCTCTCACCGCTGTGTGGTTCGTGTCTCGTTAACGTTCCCTTAAATTGCGTTGTATGCCTTAGTTTCACGCCAAGCCCGTTTTTACCCTCATGGTTGTATCTGTGTTAAGTCACTACCCTTGCGGCTAACGTCTTGACTACCACCGTGGCATGCCCAGCTCCAATGGCTGAGTCATGAGACTGATGACGATCGATGCTGGGCTCAAATCTGAAAGCAAGAGTCGGGAATCTGACGGCAGATATGCTCTGTATTGTACCCATCTGCAATGATGGTACGTGAGAGGTTCCAGTGCAACCGACAGCGGGCCGCCACAGAACGTAACAGCTACCGTGTACCTTGCAAACTATCACAGGTATTTATACGCGATAGCGTACAACAGTTCTGACATTTTGTGACCTGCGGCCGAGGCAGAGGACTGATGTCATCGCAATTCATTCATCACACTCCACTAAAGACGTGTGCCAACCGAATTGTTTTTTTGACAGATCACAGGAGAAAACCGGTCACTTTTTGGACAACGTTTTGAAGAATGTTGCGTATTTTGATGCATCGCACTTGCGCAAAAATGTAGAAGTAAGCCACAGGACCACCACGTTGTGTTACAACCAAAAAACGTTGATATCGATGGCGTGTATGCCTTCGAGTAACCCGCTAAAAGTTTAAAGCACAATCAGGAAACGGTTATTGGTAAATTGTGACTTGCGCCTTCCTGTTTCTTGAGAACTGTACATATTTCGAATGGTCAAAAAACAAGCTATCAACAGGCATGCGGCTGGATCGCAAGAAAAAGCCTAAAAGTGAAAAAAGACCCCAAAAATGCTTTGACAAGTTTCTTATAACTATTACAAATGCTATGTCAAAATTTGAGGAAAGATCTTAGACCCCCCTGAAAGATCCCTTCACTAAAGAAAATGGATCCAGCATGCCAGAAAATCACCCAACAAAATTTAGCGATGGATCCTGGGTCCTGGAATGTCTTAGATCCAGAACTGCGATAGCTGACCCCATCAATAGCCTGCATACCGGCGCATGACCGAGGTACACTCGCATCAGCACCAAACATCTTATTGGCACGGGACACCAATCCGTATTCCGGCATTCACTGAGGCGCACATCCCATTCATAAACCAAAGTACATCCCACTTCTGCTTTGGTGTAGAAGTGCTTAAAATTTTGATCGACGTGGTCACAGGCTTTAGAAAAAACGCGCCTCCAATAATAATAAGTAAGTTAATTAATTAATTCTGATGTTGACTACTTGGAGTCGCGGTGAATTTGAGTAAGCAATAGAAAATCATTAACTCAAATTAAAAAAGGACAAAACCGTTCTTACTACCGAAGATTCACCATACTAGAATACCATCACACTCACACCAGAAGAAAAACGTTTATGTCAATTTCGACCAGACCCACAGTTTCATGCATGATGCAACGCGTAATCATTCATTTTAAAAACAAAACCGGGAATTTTCATGTTCATAACCATGTCAGCTACAGCTCTGGCCATATAGGTGTCATACGCTCTGTGGCTTGCCCTATCCACATGGCCTGAATCTTTTGCATGTTTGGTTTTAATCCTGAGAGCTTGGCAAATATCCCCAATTCGTTAAATAGGACTGGTATACTGTTGCTATCACCGTTTAATAGGCACAGGGCGTCGCCTACATGCAATGCAATTTTGTATTCCCCGTCCTTGATATGGCTTCCTCTGATAGTGGCATTGTTCGTAATCCTTTCAGCTAGATTTTTCGTTGTCCATGAAACAGATAACAACTCAACTGGTCCCACTGCCAGTCAGAACGCTCTTAAGAAATTTTATCGGAAAAAATGTCCGTTGTATAATAATCTGGGAAACGCGTGAACATACGAAGCAATGAACCACATCGCACAAAAAGCCGGAAATCCCGTGTCATCAGATTTTGTCAAACGGAGTCCCATGAAATCGAATTAAGCACGCGTTTAATATCCAAGCTGATGAACAACTCATATTTCTGTGCTTATTTCAACTTGTGGAGTATGTCAGACTTTTATATGTTCTCCAATAAGCTTTCCTTTTATAATATGCTATCTGTTCTGTAACTATAAATTTTGACAGTATTTTTTTACCCATTTGCTAAAGCTATTGCTAGCATTTTATAGCATGCGTTCAGTAACGTTCAGACCAGTAAAAACTGATTTTGTCCCTGGGCTTGCTGCTCTCCGGAATGACCAGCTGTATGTTTTCGTTCAAGGAAGGAGGTACATCGTCATTATTGTCGCTTTCGGTATATGTCCTAAACAAGAAATGCTTAATATCTTCCCAAAATAGCTTGTAAAATTCAGCCAGGAGTCCGTCACTTCCGGGTATTTTGCTGTTTTTCATGTTTCGCAGTACTGTATGGGGCTCACTGAACTCAAGAGGCCTATCCGCGTACTCGCTATCGCTGTCGGACAGTGTCTTCGTTTCATGTGCTGGTATAGATATGCTATGGTAATCCATTTCATTTCATTCTTTTAAGCAGCTTCGTGAAGTACCTTTTTAGCTTAGAGGAAATATTTTGTTGGTCTGTCACAATACCCTGTGGTGTTTTCATTGCGCGGAAATAATTTGCTTGCTTACTGTCGCTTCTGCAATGCTAATAAGTTATTACATGGCTCATCAGCAAATTCGTGCCGCATGGCGCTGGACCGAGTCATGATTCCATTTAGCCTGATTTGCCTGCATTCCTGTAGTAACGTCACTTTCTCTGCTAGTCTGTTTGCCAACTACGGCGTGGCTGCTGTTATCGCTAGGTTTAAAGTTATCATCGTGCGGTCTGTTCTAAATCCGGCTAATGTTCCTGCATCAAGAATGTCCGCCTCTCAGCCAATGTCCGCCTTAAGAGCATAAGACGAAGTCGGGGCGTGCCTGTTTTAGGACCGGGCTTCTGACTTTCTGTGCCTATCTTTGAACATGCTCATGTCTTGTACGGAAAATATTTTCAGTTGGAAATGTCCATTCAACCCAAGACTTTTCAGCACCAATGTTATTTTCGCGGGCGTAATCGCACGTATCGTTGTTTTAAAAAGAACCAAGTTGGAGTCCCCTCTAGATTGAAATGCTATCCGTACCCCAAAACTATATCTTTCTTGCCTGAGACCATCAAAGAATCGGGGACTATCTCGAGGTGAGCTATACAAATTTACCAACGACAGCTCTCATAAGTTTTCTGTTATTACTTTAGGGAGAATATATCTCCCATTCTGTCAGTTTTCTTGTTCAGAAATTCGGTATGTGTTTTATAAGTATTAGTCGCGACCATTACCCATGTAGACGTATGAGAAAAGGGAGCGACTGATGTATCCTTACTCCATGCGTTTCTGGACATGTTTTCTTTCCCTCTTACAATGAACATCTTAAAGACATGAAATGTGAAGATTAGAGTTGCGCAGAAAGTAGAATACATCCAGACACTTTTTGTAATAGGCAATCCGCGACAATTCATCGAACAGATGAATCATGGTCACACGTGGCCATGAGCGTAGCTTCGAAACGTCAAGCTTTCGTTATATAACTATAGCTTGATTGGCAACGGCATTCAAGCAGTGCCTTCTGATGCATTGAATGTCTATTCTTTTCAGAATGTGAACTCCCAGTTCATAAAGCAGTGCCTACACGCAAATCAGCTTCGGTTTGTATGCATTTTTAACTTGCTAAAATCTGACAGCACCAGGGTCTTAAAAAACAAAACAGAAGCGCCGCAGTGCGTTTTCTACGGTGGCGACCAGATGTGGGAATGGTGGGACAGACCGATGACTTTCTGCTGTACTGCCGGCGCAGAGCACGATCATACTTCAGGGACGCCATCACGGTCAGCACCCTGTTGAAGACCTGAGCCTCGGCTTTACCATTCGGGTTGCGATACCCGGGACTCCTCACGGCTTTTTGTCTTCTCTGAAATTTATTCTGAGGATGAGAAAAAACATCGGAAATTCACTTCACCAGCTGAGGCCCGAGTCGTTATCAGCATAGCAATGGGATGCGCCCAGCTCCCGGGAGAATGCTGATATGAGCGACAGCACACGAAATCCGTACAGCGTGCGGCATTACCAAACCATTGACGCTTTCTCACTTAAACCTAAGGCGGTTCACGACCGCGGCTGACAGTGCTGCCTTCTGCTGCCCACTGCTGTCGCACGGTATCAACCAATCGGCGTGGAGCAGTGGGCATCAGAATGCGAGAGAGCGGCGCGTGACGTCATACTTCTGCTGGCTCTGCTGCGGAAAACTCACTGCTGCCGGGCAGCAAAGCGTGTGAATCAGCGCTGCGACGCTCACTTGAAACACTGAGGGCCGATCGCTCTGCTCGCTGGCCGTGAATAACGGGCACACTGACGATCACTAATTTACTTCAAGGTGCAATTCCTGGCGCGTGGTCAATTTGTGTTCAAACTTCTTTCCATGCACCCGCAGTTTGGAACACCATTAGCAAAGCTTTTATGCTTGGAATTTATCTGGACATTAAAATAGCACTTCCCAGCTCTTTTGCTCTGGCCTAAGCGCTGCCAGCTTGTTGCTTCGTCTAAGTCTTTTGCTCTGGAAATGTTACATTCCCTCCACATTGGTGTTCAACCAAGGGAAAAAGAGAAACATACAGAGGCAGCAGAAGTCATACAATTCACACACAAATAACACTAGTACTGTATGGCGCAGTACCGATATCGGAACAGACGCACCACACACACGCACACACACATACACACACACACACACACACACACACACACACACACACACACACACACACACACACACACACACACACACACACACACACACACACACACACACACACACACACACACACACACACGCGCGCGCGCGCGCGCGCGCGCGCATGCACGCACGAGATAGGTAGATAGATATAGATATGGATATATTAATATCTCTCCCTCTTTCTTTCTCCCTCTCTTTTCCTCTCTCTGTTTTTTTCTCTCTCTCTTTTCCTCCCCATCGTTGTCCTAGTGGCCCCGGATAGGGAGAATAGGTCCTCTAACTGACATATGAGGGCCCGCCAGTCCCAGCTGGGGTGCCCTGATATGATATCCCGGTTCCATCTGGATAAAACGGCGGGGTGCCGGTGACTCCTGCCTTTCTCCCTCCCGCATGCGCACCTGAAGTTTACCATTAAGACAGCTGCTGTCGACAGCAAGACTGATGTGTATTTGTTGATCACGTCTTTCAATAGTTCACTTTGTTGTAATCTCGAGGGGTAACTTGTGTGTACTTTCACTTACATTCTTTTTTACGCGCACTTGATGTTTCCTCCGACTCTGCCTGCTATTGGTAACAACCCGTTGGTGATTATTTTTCCATAAGTATTAACCGGTCTTCTGTCCAGGTACTGGACCATAGAGCGTCTCCTGACAGATGATGCGTGGTAACCTTGGACGTTACGTATAGAAACAAAAAAAGGACGTCTGTCACCCTGTTACATGCGAATATCGTCATGACGTCTGAAAGCTGTATTGTTGTTCCGAATATAAATGTGCCTTACATACCTCAAAATGAGCCACATAAGCCTCAAATTACGTCATAGAAAGCGATACGACATCTAGCAAATGCTCAGATACTGGCGTTGGGTGCGGACTTGTCCCAAGCGCGCTGTAACCCCGAGACGGCGCGTCCTCGGTGTACCTGAGCCGACTGGAATGGACGGCTCCATTTCGGAGTGGATGTACAAGAATGTTAACATCTGGGCCACTGGCCTTCCCTCACCTGAGCGGCAACGAAGCGGCAACGGTGTTACTGCTGCCAGGCTGACTGGAGGCTGCACACTCCGAGCCACATGTTAGTGCCGTTGTTGCAGGTACGGTGGCACGGAAGGAGCCAGCTTTTGTCTTCTGGGCACGGCGCTTCGGCAGCTGCAGCATGAGGCGTGCTTTGATGTATTCACGTACGCCAAGCTCTACCATCAGAGACGTCCAGGCATCTGGAAAAGCATGGTGCGACTCAGTCTCGACGTCATTTCGCCTTACCAGCCTCCTCACGCCCCCCCCCCCCCCCCTGTTCACCTCACTCGCTAACGTCGGTTTGAAAACCATCCATCTCTGTTTGTTTCTCCGACAGCTCTCCATCGAATTGGTCGGTGAGTGACGCTTCTGACACAGCCCCTCTCACATCCTTTCCGGGCACTGCCCCACACCCACGTGCCTATCGGCTCTTCGTGACCTTGTTGTAGTCATCGGCAGAGTTCATTCCCGCCCCGCTTCGACTATAGCATCACCATAATGTCTGCTGGCCGCTGCAGCGATGATGCGCCGGGTACGTTCGTATGACGTCATTTGAAACCATGTGGCCTTCACTTTGTATCCTTTGAGTCATAAAATCCTGCGTCCATAACGATGTACTGCAGCACACGCCTGTTTTGGGGCATTGAGGTGTGCCTCCTTATTTCCCACAGATGTCATTAAACGCCTGTCTTATGGCCGGAAGACAGTCAGCTTGGTGTTTATTACTGTCTTCGTTACTGTTGCCTGGCGAAATACCGTGATTGATCGCTGCACTAGTATCCACGGCAGTCACATGCGCCGCAGAGCAATCAAAAGATGCGCAAACATGATTCCGAGTACGGGGCAGCCTGAGCTGCCGGCCGTGTCACACGTGGCCGGCCGTGGCCGTGTCACCTGCGGAACGCACCCGCTCTCCCGCAGTGCCACCCGTTCAGACCGGGACCGGTTTTGACGCCCGCACCGCACCTGTGATGGCACGACACCACTTTCAGAGGGAATATCTTTACCTGTACCACGCGGTGTCAGCGTGGCTGGCGACGCGCGGAAACGGCGTCCTGTACCGAGGAGCCTCCTGCACCAGCCTCTGCGAGAGCCGCACCCCGACAGAAGCGACTCGGGACGCAGCTCACGGCGTCATGGTGTGACGCTCGCCAAAGTGACAATGTGATGTTCGACGGGGTGAGTGTGTGACGCTCGGAAGGGTGATGGTGTGTCGCTGGAGAGGTGGTCAACGAGGTGATGGTGTGACGCTGGAGAGGTGATCGGCGAGGTGATGGTGTGACGCTGGAGAAGTGATCAGCGGGGTGATGGTGTGACGCTGGTTGAGATGATTGTGTGATGCTAGGTGGATGATTGTGTTATGCTGGGTGGGTGATGGTGTAGTTTCGGGTGAAATGGTAGTGTGACGCTTGACTGGATGATGACGTCAAGGTGGGAGGGATGAGAGTTGGCTGCTGCTGGGAGGCGTCATGTGCGACAACGGAAGGGGATATTGTGATACCGGTCGGGGTGATAGTGTGGTGCTGGTCGGGGTGATAGTGTGATGCTGGTCGGGGTGATGGTGTAACGCTGCGTGGGGTGGTGGTGTGACTGGGTGTGCTAGGAGTGTGCTGCTAGGCGGAGTGAGGGTGTGATGTTGGGTGGGGTGGTGGTGTGACCCTGAACAAGATGGGGTAGATGAGAAGACGAGCGGAAGTAGAACTCCATGGGTGAACTCTGGATGAAAATCCGTGGTACCGTGAACGGAGTGCGATGCAACGTTTTAAAGTGCGGTCATCACATTTTGTAAAACAGTTATCTAAATTTATGTTTTGTATGAAGTAACAGAGGTTTTGAAATGGTCTTTGGTGTTAAGCCCTGCGCACGTGACTCGCTGTGTAATGTAATCGTGCATTGACTTTAATTTGTTTTGAGGACAGTGACCGAGAATCTTTTCGTGCTAACTTTCGACGCCGAAGTGATCTCATCACTGGAGCGGTGTTGACATCATGCGGACCAACATTCACGTGCTCCTCATGTTGTCAGCGCCTGTTTGTGCTATCATTTCACAACCCAACGTTTGCTCCGCTCCGTGTTTTATTTTGGCATCATATGGGGCATATCGAACTGATGAATGTTGTGCGCATCAGACGTTTTAATGAAGGCAGCTTTGGTGTTTTTCAAAACTGCCTCGGAAGCTTTTGTTGGCTTTGCTGTAACCCCATCTCACAAACAGAACTAGTGACAGAAGGAACGCGCCAAATGGCTGCCGTGGAGAAAACAAGAGCTTAGGGGTGGACTTGGCTGAATATCCTGTCAGCCCTAATAAATTAGACTGTTTGCAGTGCGAGCTACGATTCCTCCTTGTTGTTAGCGTGTCTGCTTCAGACCTTAGCGCCAGGCCTATGTGCCCGTTGGTATCTTTACCCCCAAACATACAGGTCCTGCTTTTGTGCCAAATAAAGTTGGAAAAAGCGCGTATGATGATGGGATACCTTGTGTCGGGGCGTCCCACAGAATCAACACTAGCTGAGCACAGAAAAACACGACTTGAACGATGCCTCCAATTCGCTAACCAGCGGAGGATACTCCCACTCCATTCCAGTTCTGATGCACGTTCGCATTGGTAGACAACCAGCAAACCATTTGGCTGTTGCCAACGATGATGTACCATAGTGCGCACTGGCTTCAAAGAGGAACTGAATCTAGACATGTCCCGAATTCGTAGTGCTGTTTCACATCCCCACCCACCACCTTTCGCCCGCCTTCAGAGCTGTGCGGAGTGCTGTTTCACATCCCCACCCACCACCCTTCGCCCGCCTTCAGGGCTGTGCGGTGTGCTGTTCCACATCGCCACCCACCACCCTTCGCTCGCATTCAGGGCTGTACGGAGTGCCGTTTCACATCCCCACCCGTCACCCCTCGCCTGCCTTCGCGATTCATCGCTGTGTTACATCCTGTGACAGCAACCGGAGACGGAGCACGTTAATGACCCGGCTCGGCATTGTCTCCTAACTGGTGGGTCTAATGAGCCGTACTCCGCGCGAGCTGCCGTCCGCCTGACATACGACCTCGCCGAGAACAGGCACGTCAAAAGAACCGAGCGGCCATGCAGCTAGCTGGGACGGCAGCACCCACGGAGGGACGCTACAATGCAGGTATGTACCCGCATGACTTTGTATAATGATGCGCGTAAATGCGTATTATAAATATCAATGCCTGCCCCAGTGTAGACTGGGTACGGTAAAAGTGCGTAGGTTCGCGCTGGTTATGATGACATTGTGCACACTACAAAGCACGCTTGGATCACTCCAGATATCCATCGGACGGCTCGGCGGTTTCCGAATGCTCTGCGAGGATATCCATGGGACTCCTTCCGAGATATTGGCACGCAACATTTTCTTTGCGTAATTAGTCGCAAGATGCCGATACAACTACCCCAATCAGCCCATCCCAGTTCAAAGACAATCACATAAAAAAGTCTTGGCCAGTGCCGTAGCGCATCGGACCCCGTTTCAGTTAAGCTCTTCTAACCGGTTGCCACCTGTCAATTGTTGGCTCATGAGGGTGGTTTCTGTGACGCAAAGTCGCATACCTGCATTTCATTGGTCACAGCCCCACGCTCCATAACATGAGTTGCAGGGACCTCTCTAATACCAGTTGAGCAAAGCACTGACGCTGTCTTAAGTACGTCTGCCTGCAGAATCGGATCCCGAACTCATTTACGCGCACTAGAATTGCTTTTTATCGGGTCACTCGGCCTGAAACGAGTATTATCATGCGATGACACAGGAGCATGCTGCGGCACAGCGGGCCCTCGTTGGCCAGTTTGCCTTAACGAGCACCGTGGCTTCAACTCAGGCACGGTGCTCGTTACGTGGGTTGAACTCCCAAAAGTCTGCACCACTCGGTAGTTTTAACGGAGCCCGCGATAGTAGATGTTTCGATTCGGAGAACTCCGTCGCCAAATTCACCATGAAGGCCGTGTACCACGTGTGTACTGATATGATTGTCTTGCAATGGCTCATAACGCACACGTGGTGGTTTAGATGGACAAGTGCTATAAAGATCAGGAGCAGTTCGTTTGAATTTGAACGTTATGGTGTTCGCATCAGTCGCCACTTCCCGTGCTGCTCGCATTAGTCGGACACTTCCATGAGGATCGTGTTGTTCATGATGAAGGTAACGTCCCGCTCAGTATGACCCTGTGGTAGTCGTTTCAGCAAGTACAGTAATAAAAACACATGCTGAAATGTTGCTGCCGGCATAATTTCGTTGCTCTTAAAGCACCCCGACATCATGCCATATCCCATATCCCAGCAGACGCCATTTGATCAAACAAAGGCTTTTATTCTCTCCTTCTCCTTCTCTATTTTTCTCTCCCTTTGTCTTCCTTCCCCCTCTCCCTCTCACCCACTTTCCCTCTCTCCCTCTCGCTCTCCTCTTTCCCTGCCTCTCGCTCTCCTCTTTTCCCCCTCACCCTCATCTCCTTATTTCTCCCGTGAGCCGCCACTCCCAGTTATCTTAGTCAGTCCCTCCCCTGCCTGCCTCCCACTCCCGTTCCCGCTCTGCCCGCCGTCTCAGGCCTCCGCCTCCATATTCGGCGAATCATCGCTGGTCATTACGGAGCAGCACCTGAGCCGCGACGGACCACGCGCCCTGTTTGCTCTCATCGACTGCGCCGCGGCGTCACCCTCCGTTTATTCATGCTCAACGCCTCCCTCTTTCTCCACTTTCCTTGCACTCGTCTCCCGCGCAGAGACGGCAAACAAGGGGGACGAGGACACGCTGAGGACGGTTAATGACCGCCGCCCGCTGGTAATCCCCTGCTGGGTGGTCGCCGGGGCTGGAAACAATCACAAAGTTGGCGATGTGGTCTACACAGTTATCTGGCTGAACGGGAACAAAGTCATGTGGCCGGCGGCCAAGCGCAGGGCTTAGGACGAGAATCGTAGGATGAAGGAAATGCTTTGCGGTTGAAGATAATGAGGCGAACATCAGATACGATGGAAAAAGCTCACTTGTAACTATTTATATCCTTTAAGGACTGCCCTAGACAGCATCATTTCACTTTTTGGTAAATATGCTCCTCAACGCGTATTTGTTTGATCAGGCCACGGAACTTTTTATGATGTCAGGGTCGCTGCCAGACTGGCCGTGTCAAAATTGCCACTGTAGCGGACGGGCTGACTCACTTATATCCCCTCAGCTCGCCACAGAGTTGTCTGCTAACTTGTGTGTGAATACTAAACATGCGATCGTTACGTGCGCGTGTTTTGGCTCTTTCCCGTAGTGCCCTCGTTTACTCGTGCGTAACGTCATGCCATTTTTAATGCATTTGTATTCTCGGTCGCGACGCTTTTATCAAGCTAATTCCCAGCTCCCAGTAATTCCCAGTAATTCCCAGCCCCACTCCCGTCATAACTAGGAGAACTTCCCGAATGCGTGCATTATGTGCCACAAAACGTAGTCTGTCTTCGAAACATGCGTTTGACGCTGGTTGAGAGTCGATTACCTGTTTGTACTGCCGTACTCCAGACACGAATAAAGCAGTGGTGACATTTTCCCGGCTTTGACACGATCTTATCATCGATGAGGAGGAAATCGTGTGATGTTTCTTTGACGTCACAATCTCTGGGAAGCTTCAAAGTAGGCGGCATGGAAAAGTCGCACAAGTTCATGTGCGCCTAGCTCAGAAACGAGGGAATTCAAGACTTTAAAAGAGCTGACTCTAAACTACGGGGAATGATCTTGAAAACGTTCAGTTCAAAAAAATGCTTAGCTCTAAAATCCCAGTTCAAAGCCCCAGACTAATGTGGAACGTACCCACGTCAAATGCGAACGAATAAACTTACCTGCAAGTATTCCTCGTGGTGTTCTTACATATTTATGCACGAATTAACTGTCTTTACTTGCATTCGCATACTCGGCCCTGGCACGGTTCTTGATTTGTTCGAGTGCAAGGTTTATTTCATGTGTTCGCACTCATGTGCACTTTTTAATATTATGTGTCACGATCGAAACTCGCAAGCTTGCACAGCATTGGTTGAGAGCCAATAGGCGTCCGTTATATCTGGAAATCGTGCACAAAAACGCCAGATATGAAAGACTCGATGATCATTTTCTTCTTAGCCTTCAACGCCGCATGTTCAGTGGTGTGGCAGGATTTGAATGACGTTTCTACGGAGTCATGCATGCCAGAAGGGCCTTAAAGCGGTCCGCACAAAAAAGAGTGCGCATTTTTGCGGGTATGTAGCTCAGAAACTAGACGGCTTCAAACAAGGCCTTAACAAGGACAGCGCTGTGAACTGTACTGAGTGATGTTCAAAATGACTATTTCAGTTCAAAACCCCACGTAAATGTGATGCACTTCCTTTGAGTAACAAGTCGTCACAGAAGATTCAGCGATAAACAGTACCTTTGTCACAAGTCACAGATTACACCCAAGCTGCCTGATGTATGCTGGTCTACGCTTCGCGATGGATGAAACCTAGGGATAGTGCAAAGTTCAGAACAGTGGTACCATCGCGGCAATG